TTAACTTTATGCCATTGTTTGATAAAAGAAAATAACAGAACTTTTTTTTCTCATACGTACAAACATATTAATTCTTCTGTTTTTACAATTAAAGTTTTGAATGATAATGTTGGTCATCTTATTTTTGAATTTGACTAAGTTAAAACTGCATGAATTTTGCAAATTTCTGGCGCTTTCAATAAACATATAACTGCTTATAATAGAAATACTTAACTTTTCAACGCACCTCCCAAGGGATTTGAAATACTTAAAATATCAATTTTTTAAAGTTATTTAAAAAAGATTATTTAAAGACTGTTAGCAAGAAAAAAAGTTGTTTTTCTTTGCGATTCCCTAGAAAAGTTGTTTTTACATTTTTTTTGTTTTTGTAAGTTTAAATAAATTAATTAAAAGTTTATTTAAGGAATTGTTAATTAACAAATTTTTTTTCTCATTTTTAAATGAAAAAAAGTTTAAAACTTTCAAATTTTTTTCTATTTAAAATTAAATTACTTATTGACAGTGATCCAGAACTAAAAGAAAATGATCACTAAATCACAAAAAAAGCTAGCCGTCAATGAATAAAACAAGATCTTGAAAAAGAAAATAAAGAGAAAAAATAATGGATAAAATTATTAAAGTAAAAATAAAATAAAAAAAGTCTAAAAGTATCGACTCAAAATCTTCACCTTCTGGACTAACAATTAACATTTCGCTATTCTCTAATAATTAGACCCTAGAAAAATTTTTCAAAAAAGATCACGTTACTGAACGAGTCGCTCTACAAAGTTCCATAAACTAGCGTGAATAATTCAGTTATGACGAAAGCAAATATAATTCAAAGTCTCAAAACACTACTCCGATGATGACAAAGTCATCATTGGAGTAGAATTTATTAAATCTGTTATTATAGTTAAGTTATTCTGTTTCATCATTAATGTTAAGGTATTAAGATTTTTCCATTTGTAATAAATTTCTTTCTCCAGTAAATAAATGGAAAAGCAGATTCAAATTCATCATCTTCTTTTAACCATTAAAGATTGTACCAACTTTTTAAATATATTCATCCGGAAATCAAAGTTTTACCATTTTTTTAAACTTAACTATCCGAAAATCAAAATTAGATTAAGTAGGTTTGTGATCTGCAACTATCAAACATTGTTGTCTCAGAGCGCATCCTTGTACTTACCACAAAAACATGCAATTGGCTATGGATTCCTTGGTGAAAGATGATCGTTTGCCGATTTTTCCATCATTGAATCACTTAACTTTCAAACAAGCTGGTATCATTGGCTGAAGCTAAATAAAAGACGTAACGTTACAAATATCTAATCTAGATGTTTTAAACGAAACATAACTGAATTATTGAATGTTGCATTAATTCAAAGTGATTATGCAGAGAATTTAACTGAATAAAAATTCAAATTGAAACTCAAGTTGCGAACTATATCAAACTTTTCACCGCAGCGATCTAGCAAAAAATCTTCAGACTTTTACCATTGCATCTGACTCTCTGGATGACAAAAAAAATCTTGCTGGTAAACTTGGATAATTTATTGGATTCAATTTCCTCTAATACTACGGAAATTCACATTTACGTGCAAATTTCCAGTGGCGTACTTAGGGTTAATGGCGCTCATGACAAACACCGATCTTGCGCCCATCTCCAAAAATAGGTTACTTCTGTTTTATTTTTTAAAACACTACTTTAAAATTGGCTTAAAAAGCCCACAAATTAAATCTATTAACAAAATATATCAACAAAAACTGCGATTGTCAGCAATATTTGCAATGCATATTAGGAAAAACGTTTTTTTATAACTGACCTTGACCCTAACCCTAACCCTAATACTGAGCTATAAAATTAATTGTTCTGGACTGGAAATTTTTCCAGAACGGCTTGTTAACAGCGTTCTAAAATCCAAAATTTCTTCTTATAATTCTTGTCTATCCACATCACGATTGTAGGCTTCCCAAATCTTTTACAAAGAAAATAAATTATTCGTTTTCAGCATGCTTCAAAATGTCAAGAAAGATTATATTCGAAAAACCAAAAATTTTGATGTTTGACCTTATTCCACATATTTATAGGGGAGAGTGGGGAGAGGTAAGACGCGGGAGAAATGGGACAGCCTGAAATTTCTAATTAGGAGTGATGCCTAAATAATGTTATTTAATGTAAACAATTAAATTTCTTCCCCTCTATTTAGCAGAAATTGCTTTGTTTTCCTGCGTGCGCTAAAATGTACTTTAAAAAAGTGTTTACATTGGGGTGCAGTGGGACAGAAAAAATAAATATTTATGCTCTGCTTCTTCCAGTCGCAATTTGATTATTTCAATTGTTGAAAGCTCTTGAACATTTTTATGCCGATTAAGTGATTTTATGATTTTATCAGTTTCTATTTAATAATTTGTCTTAAAATGTTGTTTTAAATTTATTTGTCCCATTTCTATTCACATTTGTCCCATTTCACCCCAATGGCACGGTTTCCCTACAAGCAAAAATTTATATACTTAGCAATAATTGGCTGGAAACTTGAGGGGATTGAATCGCTGCCTAAAAAGAAGGTTTATTTGTAAAAACTTGTTTAATTCAGTTTATACATCAAATTAAAAAGATATTGCAATTACCCTAAAAAAAAATTTACATGTCCCACTTCTCCCCGACGTATAAAAATATTTATTTTACTTTTTATTTTCGCTTTTTGCCGCCCCTCATCCCCTCAGTTGGCGCTTATGGTACGTGCCATGATAATTAATAAATCTCAGTTTAAAAATAAAGTCGCGATGCTCAGTGTAGTTAAGGCACTTCTAAAATATTATAGCGTCTGTATGATATTTTGTTGATTATGACATATTTCCGTGAAATGGTCTGTTCTGTGAATTATGAAAAGACGAAAAAACTAAAATAATAAATTTTGCGGTATCATAAAATATAAATGTTTGTAGCGAAAAAACTCAGACCGTGGAATCTTTTTTTTTTAAAAAAAATCATCTTAAAATCACAATCGCTCGTCCAAATTTAAATAAGATTTTATATTAATACGTTTTTTTAGGTAAAATGAACATTATAGTTTAACATTATGATCTGTTCTGATCGTTTATTGGCAATTATTTACAATTAATTATAAGCTCTTTCTTGGTCGGAATTCCAGTATTTTTTGTGAAAATTGATAGAAATATTATTTTGACAACTATATATAGTTAATATACGTCAGAACCGATTAGAACTAGGATCAGTATTAAATTAAGTAACTTTTTAAAAAGATTTTAACTTAATTCATGTTAATGTCGATGAGCGAAATTGATCTAAAGACTCCAAAATAGTGTTCTTTAGATACATTATTACGGGTTGTAAAAAGATTTTAAAAATTATATATAAAAAAGAAAAGTTTCTTCAAATATTATAAAAACTTTAAGCAAAAAAAATTATAACATTTAAAGATCTTGTTTGGGCATAATATGCTGACAAAACTATGCTAATTCCAAATAAAAGTATTCAAATATTTTGTAAATCGCCTTAACTACACCGAGTGAGCACATTGATGCTTCTTGAAAAGAAATTTAACAAAAACGTCTTTTGATTTTTTTTTACCCATCAATCCTCGACAAAGGAGTTGTTGATGGGATTGGGGCTAGTTGTTGATTGGATTGTTAAGCGCTTAGCACCCAACAAATTAAAGTCTGGATAAATCGAAAACTGCTCAGCAAATGATTTTGTGAATTCTCTTTGACATGAAATTTCTATTTCTATCAGAGGAGTCAAAAAGAGAGGAAGAAATGCGCGCTCTAAACTATTTTTTTCAAATTGTAACGCCAAAAAAAAAAAAAAAAAAATTAAATCGGAAAAAGTTTCACTGTAATTTATTAAGAATTTTAAACAAATAAATAAATGAAACTATTGATTTTTATTTTAAAGGATTTTTTTGTTAACATTTTTGTGTTAACAAAAGAAATCGTATACAAGGGCAATTCATGGCTCTTGCAAAAAGTCAAAATAAAGAATTTACAATATTTTTAAAAAGTTTTTTCAAGTATTTTATCAATTCAATTAAAAGAGGTTAATAAGTAAATGCTTATAAACAAGTTATAACATTAAAACCTTTTTTATATCTAGTATAATAGACAAATTTATGGCACGAGATAACGTCTAAAACGCTTTTAAAATGAGTTAAAATTTACTGTTTTTGACTCAATAAACTTTTATAAATCGGTTAGTGACCTATTAATTCAAATTAAATATTAAACTTTGAATAAGTTTGATACATTTGCGAAAAGCGATTTATTCTATACTAAAGCGATTTATTCTACACTACAAAATTAAACTAAAACAAATACTACAGATTTTAAGCCTAGTAACTAGAATTTAAAGACTTTTTTTACGAAGAAAGAAAAAGGTTTCCCGGGGGTTCAAATAAACTTAATTGCCCTCGAGCTTGTCTTCGACATTAAAATCGCATACGTCTAAAATAGGAGAAACACATTAAATCAGAACACGAACAATTTCACAGCCTACAGCTGATATAAAGTGCGCGATGGCTGCACATTTTACACACGATTTACTAACGATCTATTATGGCTTTTACTTCTATTTTTTTCCTGACAAACAATAAACTAATTTTCTATAAATTATCAAAATTCATACCAGAGATATGAACTGGTTTGTGAGAAAATGATCTCTAATAATCGCACGGCAATCATAAAGTTAAATGCATAGTGTCAAAAAAATACGTTTATTTACCGCATTTCTATAGCAATTTTTCTATCTTTGTGATAAGTAATATTAAGTTAAAAGTTTTAATGATTCACAATACCAATTTTCAAAAAGTATAAATATTTATTATATTTTTCTGCGTAACGTAAGTTAAATTGAAATCATAGGTTCGCTATACTTTTGTTGGACACAATAAATTTTAGCTTGTTTTATTCTTTAGACCATATATTATTTCAAAAATAGCTTTCATATAAAATTGTAAAAACGTACAGATGTGAAATCACAATCAAACAAATAAAAAACATACCTGATGTCTTCAAACTCGCTTGAGGAAGAATAGCGATCATTTCCGACAGGAAAATTTTTCGGGTCGCATTCGGGAGCTTGAGGAATTTTAAGACAGTAAATTCTCAGAACCAACCTTTAGAAAGGAAAGTAAGAAAAACATAAACTTTCTATTTAAACTTCCAATTTTAAAAATATTGTTCAAAATATTTCTTAAAACAAGCTTAAATTTGAAATTGATAGCAAAATCCAAAATAACAAACGTACAACTGCGTTGGCAGTTTTTTTTTGATTGGGCCTAGAAGACAAATCAAGTCTGAAAAATTGAAGATCCATATAATAATAGAAAAATAACTTTTTAAAACTTTGTGGCAAACATAAAAATACGTTCACCACAAATAATAAAAAAAAAACAGTTAACAAAAAAATGCATTTTTAAAACGCAATATTATAAATACAATATTAATATAAACAATCAACTCTCGAAGATAAACAATGATTTAATAGCCTGCTCTTAGGAGCATCAACTTGACAAAAAACCTTTCAACAGCGGGTTTGTATATACATACATACATACATACATACATACATACATATATATATATATATATATATATATATATATATATATATATATATATATATATATATATATATATATATATATATATATATATATATATATATATATATATAATGAACAGTGCGTAAAAAACTACTATGTGCTGGTTTCCTGAATGCCGAATTGATAACAACCCCATTCAGTTTATAATAAATTTCTAAATGTGCCTACCCAAAGAAAAGAGCAACGTCAACGTTTGAAAGATTTTAAGCAAAAATGTAATTTAAAAGATGTTAAAATAAAAATAAATGAGGCATTTATTTCATAAGTAAATTTTAAAAGTAAAAAAAGCCAGTAAAAAGTTGAATTAAAGGAAAAATTTTGTAAAGAAACTTCAAAGCTTTTAAAGAATTCTTCCGGTAAAGACATGAGCCAATAAGTAATAATTTCTATTTTATGAATTACACAACTCTGTGATTTAGCTCATTTTATTAAAATGATTTAAAAAGAAAAAAAAAATCTAAATTATTTTTATTTTGGATTAAGATTTTAAATAATATATTTTCCCTTTTAATTGTACAATAAAAAAAATATTTGCTGAAAAGAAAAAGTAATTATTCTGGTCTGAACACTTACAATGGCTGATCAACACATTCAAAATTTATATTTAAAGCAGCTGTGTCTTTTTCTAATTCCCGCAACGAAGGAGAACCGCAGTACTCTCTAGAAGAAAAAAAAAAAAAAATACATAATTACATAAATCTACTAGGATCAAAAAAACCTTTGTTGTTTTATATACAGACATGTATAATAAGTTAACTTAAGTAATGAAATATTTCATTTTAAATTATAACAATCCATCGCTTCTATGGTATTAGCTTTAAAAATCTAAAGATCGAAGCAAACTTTTCAAATTCAAATTTTTTTAGGGATCATCCATAAATTACGCAACACTAAATTTCACTAATAAACAAAACAAAAAAGATTAAAAGTTTAAAATTCAAAAAGTTCAAAGTCAAAACAGCGCATTAAGTTTAATGAAAATCGCCGCGTAAAAGAGCAGAAGGTCTTTTACTTCCGTTTTTTAAATAAATTTAGCGTTTCATAACTTATGGACGATCTTATAAATCGAGATTTATAAACATTAAACGGTTAAGTTTTTAAAACTTTTAACTTTTTAAAAATATTGTGTGATATTTTTTTTTTTTAAAAAAAAAGTCTATTTATATTTAAAAAAAAAATCACGTGATAACCGCTATACCGGACAAAACTTTGTCCCGTGACTTTAAACTAGCAATTCGTCTTACTTCCGCTAGACCGTCTATGTCGTTTATTTAAAATATAAACGCTTTTCGTTTATACAATAAAGTCAGTTAAATGAAATTAAACGCACCGCTAGTGGTGTGTGATAAACTTGTCCTGCTTGAAGAAACAGTTACTTGCTCGCTCCTTTTTTTCTTCCTCAAGTACCATTAGTAGATTAAAAAAAGTTAGTTATTTTTATATCACAAATATTATATTAGAAAACTATATTTACAATATTTGTTTAAAGATACAGGATGCGGAAATACACATGAGATGTACAAGAATGTTACAAAATACAGAAAATTTGTAAGTAACTCGACTTGATGATCCTCAAAATATGATACCATCAATTATAATAAGGTAAGTTAATTTTATTAAAATAACTGCTTGCTTCTCCTTTTTATTGTTGGATGTTAAAATAACAAACTTTAATTATTTTAAAAATTGTTTTGAAAAAAAAACGGTTATACAGTGTTTTTTCAGCAGAATGTTATGAAATAAAAAATCTAAAAAGATAATCAACTCGATAATTTTTTAAACACTGCCAGATACGTCAACGGAAAACAAAAAGCGCTAGATAACGAAATCATGGTATGAAATCGGGATATAAAATGAATTTACTTTCAATATTTTAAAAAATATCAAAGGAATATTATTCAATAAAACTTTGAAAGATTATACTTTAAAAACAATTTTCAACTTATAATTTATATGCACCCGTATAAAAGTATTGAATATATAAAAATTTTGTTCTGATTTATAAACCCTCATGAACATAAGCAAAACTTAACAAATAATCATAACTTCAAAAATTATTAACTACTGTTATTCACATACGCTGAAAAATAAAATTCGCAGCTGATTTTAAATATAACCTTTCAGTTAGCGCCTTAATTATTTACCTATTTATAATAGTGATCGCCTCTTAAATTAAATTCACTTCTTATCTCATCTATTATCACCTAGAAAGACTAGAAAAAATATTTCTCCCCAGTAAGATTTTTTTAATTTCTCAATAAAAACCTTTTTTAAATAAACCGTTTTGTTGTTTGACTTTTTATTGTAAAAATTTGAAAAAAGCTGAAAAATATTTCTCAACTCTTTTACGAGCGACATAGCTTTCAGTATTATTTATTATTATTTTGTTATTTTTATTCCATAATATTAAAGAAAATGCAACAAAATCTGTAGATTTCATATAATATATAGTTGCAGGATAGTTGTTGAATCGCCTGCCATTAAACAAATCATGTAAAGACTTTTATTATTTATTTTTACATGATATGTTTAATGTTTTGGGAATCTTGAAAAACATTTTATATTATCAAAAAAAATTTATAGAATAAATATATTCAAAAATGAAAACCTTTAAATAAAAAAAATAAAAAATAATTTTTAAGAACGATGATTTGTTGTTGTTGTAAAAATTGACCATACCTTTTAAATTTTTGTTGCGGTAAAAATTGACTACACCTTTTAACTTTGTTATGGTAAAAATTGACCGTACCTTTTAATTTTTTTTGTTTTGGTAAAAATTAACCATACCTTTTAACTTTTTTAGATATAATATACCAAGCAGGGTACTTGGTATTAATATTAAAATTTTCGTTTCTTTATTACACTTATCAGCACTATCAACATTAGCTTTTAATTTATAAGTAACAGTTCTAACAGTAAGCTTCAAATATATCGTAACAGTTCTAACAGTAAGCCTTAAATATATCGTAACAATTTTAATAACAGTAACTTTTAAACAGTTTTATATTAATCCCCCGTTTAAAAGAATACCATAATACAAAAATAGCTCATAATAAATACTAAATTTAACTTATCACGTTAAATTTAAAAGCTAATAACTCAACTTTATTTTTAACCAGTGATTATAAAACATCATTATTAAACTTAAAGAAATCTAAACTCTTGGTCAAACTCTTGGTCAAACTCCTTTGAAATTCCTTTGAAAATGATTTTAATAGTCAAACTCCTTAAACAGAATCAGGAAAGAATCTAACTAACTAAACTCCTAAACAGAATCAGGAAAGAATCGCTTAAATTTAAAAAAGCGCATTTAAAAAAAAAAGAGTTATAACTAAATACCTGATGTTATTTACTATATACGTGATTTAACTAAAACAATATTACTGTTGATTTTATCAAATTTAACATGGTTAACCTCTTTAAAAAAGATTTTTTTTTGTTTTTTCATATTTAACTATATTAAAGATATTTGATTAAGTTTTTAAACTGAAAAATAACAACTTTCTTAAACCATTATATCTAGTTATTTCTACTGTTCGAGCAAATTTATACCCTTGACAAATGGTAAAGTAAAAATTCAATATAAATATACCTTTTATTTGTTCCAATGTTTGTTGCGACTAATGCAATTAACTTATCAATTTTTAAATATGGTACCTCAACACTGCGAAAGAAGCTAAAATCATACAATTATTTAATTAAATATAAAGCAATTATTTAGAATAATTTAAGATATAAATCCAGAGTAAGTATTTAATTTGATGAAAAACTACCTTCCTTTTAAATATGCAGGGTTGTTGTCCGGTCGACTGCCATTAAGCAAGACATGAGAAATGCCCGCTGCTCTTTCTGCAAACTATAATATTATATAGTGTTATAAAAAACAGAAAAAATTAAAGAAACTTTGAAAAATGCAAAAAATCAAAATTTGACCACATTGATCATACTTTTAATATGACAGTATTATTGTACTTTTTATTATGTTTTATTCTTTTATGAAAAATAACAACAAAAGTCATACCTCATACCTTTTTTGATGCTATAAACCATGCAGGATACATTGCATTACAAACATTATTCTTTGCATTACATTTGGTGTAATTCAAACCATCAGGCGTGGTAGGTGATCCACACCAAGTTAGTTCATTCATTAAATATCTAGAAAAAAAAACATTTAGCACTAATCATTAAGATAGTCACAAAATGTCACACATTTTATCACACATAAATAAAATAACAAATAAATTTTACAATATTGTAATTTTCAATAAATGTAAAATAAATTTATTTGAAAAAATCTATAACCCTGTCATTGTTTCCTCAAGAACAATATGCTGATCATTAATAAATGTAAACTGATGTACAAGGGTACTAGATCCAGACCAAAACATAGCCTAATAAATATATAAGTATGTATGTATGTATGTATGTATATATATATATACATATATCTACATACTAAAGCATATATATGTATGTATGTATGTATATATGTATGTATGTGTATATATATATATATATATATATATATATATATATACATATATCTATATACTACAGCATATAGTAGATATATATTATAGTAGATATACATTATGCGACTTTTTGTTGATGTATGTACTGAAGACCTCAGCAACCCCCTATTTCAGTATGACTTTAGACTGCTCAAGAAAGTATGCATTTATAATATATACACACATATACGTATATACACATACATATATACAATGGATTCTTTGTTAACAATTTATTAATTTTGGTTATGAAAATTATGAAAATATCAGGTAAAAATACTAAGCTAATCTTTCACACATACTTAACAGTATATATAAAAATCATCTAAATTAATAAAACATTGAGCCATTAAAAATATGTTTGATAACAGCTTTTGCAATATGAGTTGAAATCATTTTTAATAATATATAGTATGATACTGAACATGTTTTACTAATTTATATACATACATACATATATATATATATATATATATATATATATATATATATATATATATATATATATATATATACATATATATATATATATATATATATATATATATATATATATATATATATATATATATATATATATATATATATATATATGAGAAAGAGAGAGAGAGAAAGAGAGAGAATAGAGAACATATATATATATAAAATATATATATATAATTTAATATATAATAAAATAATAATATAAAACACCTCCCTCAGAAAAGTTTTGAAGAACAGCCGGAGGGCGCCAATGTCCGGCACCTATTTGTACCTCTGTAAAAAAATATATATATAATAGGCTTAGTAAAATAAGTGCCTGTCGATAATAATGGTTTTTAAATAGAAGAGGTTTTGTGATTTTCAAATTTTCTTATATAAATAATGCTTTTCTTTCAAAATTTTATACAAATGGATTCTTTGTGACCAAATATTTATTTTATATAAGATAAAACAAAAAATATAATTCTAGCACACAAATTTAAAGTTAAAAAAGTGACATGCACTTCTTGATCCAGAAATAACAATTTCCATTAGTCTGATTGATACAAGGATTTCCTCATTTAAAAGAGCACTTCTTTTAAGGTAAATGATCTTAAGAAGTCATTTTTGCAAAAAAGTGACACAGGCACTTCTTTTACCAAGCTTCTTTCTCACACACTCACATAAAAACTTGTTATTTGATAACCTAATTTTAGAAAAAGTGAAAAGACAAAAATGTCACATACATTTCGAATTTTTTTTGGATTTTCTAACATTTCAAAAAAAGGTTTATAGCTGTTTTTGGTAACATCACAAGGATTCTTGAATGCAAAGCTAGCATAAAATTCATTCCAAAGCTTTGTACAATTTACTATTGTTTTTAACTCATCAATTTTATTTTCTTTGGCTAGCACTTGATAGTGCCAACATCGTCCAATAAATATTTCTTTAAGATTTTGTGTTGTACCACCACTCTCAATAAATTTTGGAGTTAGAAAAAGTATGGCAACAACAAAAATGAAGAACATATCTATAAGAGCAACAAAACTACTACTTTTTTATAATTAACAAAAATATTTATTAGATATACTTGCTATCACTATAATTATTATTGTTATTATTATTATTAGATAATTGTTTTTAATCAAAATCTAATGAGAATCAGTAACTAAAAAGTATAATTAAAATAAATTGTAAAAATATTTAACTGAAGAAACAAAGTATAGAAATATTGTTTTCTCATTTAAAAACTCTTTTATCATAAAACTCATCAGTTACATAAAAAAGTGTTTTAAAAAAAATATATGCAATTAAAAATGTTACACTCAGTTTCATAAAATATCATGATTGCTTTTTACCAAAGCAAGATTAAAAACAAGAATCATCAGTAAAATTTGATGAGAAATTTTTTTTCTATACTCATGTCATTTAATGAAAATGATTTATAAATTCTGTAAACTGCTGTTACAGATCAAAAAAAAACTCAAATAGCTATATACAGACAAATGCTTTCCACCAAACTATATAATAGATGAAAGTAGACACCTAACTGATCAAACTTTTTTTTTTTTCAAATTGCATCAATAAAACTTTATTCTCTAATAAAAATATTTTACTATTAGATGCTTGTGAAATTTTGCATAAATAAAAAATATTGACTAAAAAATTAATGACCTTTCCTCTTCATAAATAAATGAATGTGGCAAAATCAAAAATAATCAAAAAGGAAGCAAAGTTTATATAACCTTTTAAACAACTTAATAAAATGTTTTTTTAAAAAAGAAAAAAAGAAAAAAAAAAAAAAAAGAAAATACTCGTATGTACGTAGTGTTATCAAACAAGGTTTAGCATTAGTACTGTTTCTCTGGTTTCCAAAACATTATCTTAACAATTGGATACTTCAAACTGACAAAATCACTTATGCTTAAAAAGTTTATTCATTGATTAAACATTGTGAAATGTAAGTGATTAATTTAATTTATACAATAAATAAAAAATAATAAAATAAATGCAAAATAATACAACTAAACCTTTAATTGTATTATAGTTATTTAATAACAAAAATAATAATAATTACTAATTATTATTTAAATAATAATGATAATGTAATAATATTAAATATATTACAATAATAATAAACAAAAATAATAACAACAAATAAATTTTTCTAAATTAAACAAATCCAAAAAGCAAAAATTTAGTTGACACAAAAATAAAAAAAAAAATAAAAAAAAAAAGTTAGCTTTCTTAAAAGTCTGACCACCACTTAATTTTACTGATGTACAGACTTACAATGTTTTTGACAAACTATTGCTAAGTCTATGGAACTTTATTTACACAATGAGCAAGAACAGCTTGTGTAACTATTTACACGAGCTATTTTTAAATAAGTTTATTGACATTAAAAATCATTTTTTACAGTTTATGAGTTAAGGTGAACTATTAAAAATATGGTTTATTAATATAAAATATTTTCAGTAAGAAGACTAAATTTTATCAATAATCCCATGATTATGCAAAACAAAACATTCTTTTTAAGACCAATCCTATAAAAATGACTATATGTACACAGTGAATTCAAATTAAATATTAAAACATAGTATTAAAACAAAACAAAAAAACTTTTTATACAAAAGAATGCAAAAAATTTGAAATGATGTAAAAATAATACAGCTTCAAAGGTTCCACAAAGCTTACAAACTTTATAAAGCGTCATTACTTAGACAGTACCTAAAACATCTTTATAAATATAAAACTATTATTTTAAAAAATAATAATTTTTTCTTTAGTTCTTTTATCACATGAGTTATTGGTTAGACAGTAACAGAAACATCTATATAAATATTTAACTATTATTTTTTTAAATAATTTTGTATTTATTTCCTATTACCTGTGTTGTGCTTCATCAAAAAAAAAAAAAAATTAAAGTAATAACAATCAATAAAAATGTAACTAAAAATTCACTGAAAACAAAGTTCTGACCTTTTAAACTTGCTTCTCATTCCTTAAATAATATAGTAAATATTGAAACATTTACTTTGTACAAAAAACCAAACATAGTAAAGCTATTACTGTTGATTGTTCAACTTTAAAATTACATTTGCAACCTAAAATAACTAAAAAGAGGTTATTGTATAAAATCTGCAAAAACATCTAAAACAATGTTAAAACAGAACTAAGTTGCAAACTTTGATTTACAAAACAAAACACTATCAAAAAACTTGATAAAGCATTAAGAATTTTTGCTTGGATATATTTGCACATAATAAATTTATAATTTTCCATTTCAATGTCAATCATATTTTTATAAATTAATTTAAATACAAAATTAAAAAAAAAATGTCTTCAAATAATAAAATAAATAAAAAGTATAACTAATTATGATGGAGTGTAACTAATGATGATGAAGTATAACTAATGATGATGGAGTATAACAAATGATAATGGAGTATAATAATGATGGAGAATAACTGATGACAGAGTAGTATATATAAAATTATATTTTATGGATTTAAAAAAGACAAATTTCTAATGATGAATAAAGGAATGTTTTATTTACAAATATAAGAAAAATACAAGTTAATTTTAATTGAATTTATTACAAAATTTTGTCTAAAACTAAAATAATCTTATCATAGAATTTTTTTAACTAAAAAAAAAAATTCAATTGAAAAACATTTTTTTTTGAATATTAATACAGCCCATATATATGCTTCGATTTGTTTATAAAGTGAAGATAAAAAAAATTCAAGCAAAAAGCAACAACAACAAAAAAAAAATTATAAAAAAATAATAAAAAGGTAAACTATTTAAAGCAACTATAACAATAATTCTTTGATAAAAATTTTTTAACATACTACTTCCTATTATAATTAAAATATTTACACTAATTAAAAATAACTTTACAACTATAATAAAAGTTTTATAAATCATAAAAACACTTTCAAATAAAGTTAACTTAAACATCTTCGTAAAAACCTGGAAACATTGTGAAAATGACAGAAATCGTAATGAGCACAAACAATATCTTACTCCATCTAAATATTTAAAAATGTTTTTAAATAATATTGTTTTTTCTTGAAATTATATAATAAAATTATTTTATTTTATTTAAAAATTATTTAATTATATATATATATATATATATATATATATATATATATATATATATATATATATATATATATATATATATATATATATATATATATATATATATATATATATATATATATTTAACACACTAAATATATTTAATATAATAAATTTAATATACTAATTACATTTAATATATTAAATTCATAAACAAAATATATAATTTCAATTTATATATAAAGTTGATAATCAACTTCAATAAAAAAAAAGCAAAGTATAAACTAAATATTGATTATAAACTTTCTTATTTCATTTAAATATTTAAATATATTTAAAGAAAAGTTTAATTGTTAACTAAATCTGTAAATCTTTGTAAAAATTATTTTAAGTTAAATTAAAACACTTTTTAAAAAAATATTCCATATACTTTATAAAATAAAACCTTAAAGTTTTTAGTCAAAAAAATGATTTTGATTACTAAATCCATTGGTTACTAAATCATGTAATTGGTTACTAAATATTTATTAATAATATAAACATTCTAAAAAACTCTCTGATCCAACTATATTTATCAAAACATTAACATTGATGATAAAACTACTATTATGATGACACACTTTTGTAAATTTTATTTCTGTTGTGTATTGAAATATTATATATATATATATATATATGTATATATATATATATATATATATATGTATATATATATATATATATATATATATATATATATATATATATA